GAAACACAACTTCTCATCTAGTTGCCAGTGATAAAACAGCTCTGTTTTAAGTATTTCATTTTCACTTAATTAAAAAAAATGTACTCACTGTGGACAGATGATGTTTAACATTTGGTTATAAAGACTAGATATGGATGACCGAGGCTCAAAGTAAGTAATCTAAAACCTCCCCGGAATGTATGAATTCTGAGATTTTGCATTTCCTACCTTCAGTTCCATGCTGTGACAGTTTACTCTGTAGTCCCACATCCTCTGCAACTGCATAACAGCACACCTTTACTGGGATAGAGAGAGAAATGAAACCTTTCATCGGGTCAGATGCAGCTAAATGTTATGCAGGAGAAAGTGAAAAAGAGGAGATAAAGTTTAAGAGAAAGACATCAGAACGAGAATAAACCTAAAGATTTAACTGACAGAGGAAGCCTATATATTAACTGTTTTGCTTCCTGTACCTCTGAAGGGAATCCAGAACTGTTTGTAGTGTTTTGGGTTTTGAGTTTGATAAAATGGGTGAGTGGGGGAGATTCTGGAGTTTGTCTACTTGGATCAGGGGGTGCCCAACTCCAGTCCTCCAGGGCTAATGTCCAGCAGGTTTAGAAGTTTCCCTGCTTCATCACACCTGATTCTGGTGCCATAATCAGGCTCGTGCAGAGCCATTGAACTGATCCACTTAATCAGAATCAGGTGTGAAGCAGGGAAACCTCTAGAACCTGCAGGATACCGGCCCTGGAGGACCGGATTTGGGCACCCCTGATCCGAGTAGACGTCATGTCTGTGCACAGGAGTCAAACTCCAGTCCTCGAGGGCCCCTCTGTCCTGCAGGTTTTAGAGGTGTCCCTGTTTCAACACACCTGATTCACATCAAATTGCCATTAGCAGGGTTAGCAAAGCCCAACAATGTCCAGAGGAGATCCAATTTAATCACAATCAGGTGTGCAGAAGCAAGAAAATGTCTAGAACCTACAGGACAGCGGCCCTCGAGGACGGGAGTTTGACCCCCCCTGTGTCTGTGCCATGTGGTTTCTTACAATGATGTTAGCATTCCAGCAATGTAGCAGATCCACATTAAGGGGAAAGTTCTGGAAGGCTTTGGTCTCCTGGTCTCAGGTCAGGGCCATTCGAGATAGTTTTGCTATGTGCCGACCAGCCAAGTGCTCAGTTTGGGGTAGCTAGCCATCCGTGTGTGAGGCTGGGTAGGTAGGCCAGATGTGGCTGGCCGCTGGGCACTTTCAGAGGTCAGCTGTAGCATGACCACACCGACACTGGTCTCACTGGCCAGTTAGCTCTGATGTAAACAGGTGCTGTTGACTGATCTCAGCATGTAGGAGAAAAGTGAATGAGTGGTGGGCGTGGACCTAATGTGACATACCAAACTGACAGATTCATGACAGGTATCGGTAACTGGCGCCAATTTATCAGCGAAAAATAGAGAAGAAAACTTGGTGAAAGTACAAGTTGAATATCAAATAAGCCAAAGCCAAGCACAAGTGGGAAAAGGACATAAAGACTCAGCAAAACTTTTATAGCAGCTAAAAACTTTCAGTCTGTGTAAAAATATCTTTTCAAGCAAGGACATCTATATTTTTCTAACCAGTGTAATTTATTTATTTTGCACAAATAATCCCAAAGAGTAAACAAATTGTGTAATGTGTGCTTTGTCCCATAGACATGCCTCCATGCACAGCCATGAGAAACGCTTATTTCTCTGTGTTTTATGGCCCTGTGCTCACAAAGGCTATATTATGGGCGTTGGCTCAGTAACGAGGCACGTCTGTCTCGTTCCAGACTGAAAACACCTCGGCATGTACACAAAGGCTAGTTTTCTTTCTGGCCAAATATAGCCGCGGCTCCACCCGTCCTCACGCTGCTGTCTCCCGCTTAACGGGCTCCACGCCTGGATACCTGCCAACGAGCCGACGACCGCGCGCCCGGCGAAGCTCGTGCGTGTGTGTCGAGCCCGTACACGCACACGTGCACACGCTGTAAGGCGAAGCCACGCGACAAAGTTAAGAAAAAGTTCAAGTCGTCGCCGTTCATAGACGTATTCATGTCTATGGCCGTCGCTTGGTAGTGCAGCCAATCAGCGACGGGTTTATTGGCTGGCCAATGAGCGGAGAGTAAGCTTCAGGCTGCGCCCTGCGGCCATTTTCAACATGGAGGAAAACAGAAATGGGAAAACATCACTATTGCCTTTGAATGCCCTAAATTATATGACGATTCATGGACTGGTTTTCGGGACACAAATAAAAAAGACCAACGATGATATTCAACCTGCTGTTTCCCATTTTGAAATAAAGGGTCAACCCAAGGTCGTCTTTTGTTTTATTTGTATAGGAGATTTAAAAGCAAGATTTCTGCCAGTTCCAGTCAAATCTTGTCTCTTTATGACCGCTTTGAAATATAAAAAATTCTTCCAATTTGAAAACGACTCTAATTTCTTGGAGACAAGTGACTCAAGAGCTGCCAGGGCAGTTCCCCTTCAACAGGCACCACCTGCTTCCTCAGACCTGCAGAGCCAGAATGGAGCCCAGGAGTCAACACACAAAAATGATTAACTCTGTGGAACATTTTTCAAAGTTAAACTGTTATCTCCCAATGGGCAGTACAATATTGATTTAACACTGAAATCACTTCCACAATAAAATCAAATCTCTTTAAGACATGTACAATGAGGTTTTAGAGTCAAGACACTGTTTATTCATTAACTCCAGCTGAACATGGCCTGTCCAAATAAAACCAGCAACCAGCGGTTATGTGGCAGTTTCATAGCAGATTCTACTGCAGATCCTTTAGAAAAAGTCATACTTTGGCTTATACTTTTACTTATTTGGTGGGAAAGGATCTGATCTATGATTCTCATATATTCCTTGTCCAAGAAAACAATTCACCTTTAATTTGTGAATGACTTTTATTTAATGTGTCAACAGAAAAGAAAAATAAACCATTTTTATCAATTACCATTAACAAGTTTATCATTCTAAAGCACATTAGGTATAAAAAAAATTAGGACTCACTCTCACATACAACCGATCTAAAACCCAATAATTAAAAAAAGAGGAAAATATTAATATTACAACAATGTATAAATATTTACAAAATCTTCTGTTCAATCTAAAACTACAGTTATGTACACAGTGGGTGGTCAGCACTCCCTCCTGGAGAGAGATAGGAGAACTTGCTTCCTTGGGTCAAGATTTAAAAAAAGTTGAAGGATCATAGTGTTGAAATAACAGACATTTTACCCTAAAACACAGTTGTAAGGTTTGGGCTAATCAGAGATTTATGCTTTTTAAAACCGACAGGGACAACAGGAGGTTCAGTACAACACAAACTGCATCAACTTACAAAAATAATACAATCGATCATTGTGATGAAAAGAAATGCTCTGGCATCATTCGCCTGGCAAATGCCACGACAAGTATCTGCCGTGAAATCTCTAGTTTCCAAAGGACAAGGATGCTTTGCGTTCGTCTCTAAACAGAGCTGTGCAGCTGCAGTGATGCAACTGTGAGCCATGCGCGCTTCAGGCAAGAAAAGTGACAACAGTTTGTAGCTGCTCCTCTGGCCTGCAGGAGTGTAGAGGCATTCTGTTACAACGTTAGACTTAAACCCTTAGAGAAAGCCCTGTGGACCAAGAACAGAAAGTAAAATAACCAGTATTCCATCGTAATTAAAAAAAAAAAAAAGTCATTATGGCTGTCTTTTTTAAATCCCCCACAGTTTGAGCTGGTAGTCACACAGTCAAGTGAACATGAACCAGAAAAACAACTCAGATTCTACAATAGGTCTCTCCACCCAACTTGATCTTTCCTGAGCTGAAGTGTTAAGCAAATAAAAGGAAAATTAACAGAAAGGGGAAGAAAAACAGCATTGAATAGAAAAAAAAAGCAAACCACAAACTGTTGTTAGAGCTGGGTTGCTGTGGCGACGGGTAATGTCTTCGATACAAACATTGGCAAATCGCGGTGCTCTGTGAGCTCAACAGGAATTACCTGTGCTGAAACAGGCACAACCAGCTGATGATTAACTTTTCCATAGTTGTCCGATGGCGTCTGTTGATCAGAGTCTTTTCTTTGAGCCCTTCTGTTTGAGATTTTATTGCTAGCAAGTTATAAAGTGGAGTATTATGTGAACATTCGGTGAAAATTAAAGTCAAGTATAAATTTCAAATACATTCGTTGTATTCTTAAACAGACGTGCACACATAAAGACACATATTTACACATGCATGACAGAATGGACCGTTTCTACACCTCTAAGTCCGTATTTAACAATGCAGGCATGTTTACAGTGACGATGACGACAAGAAGACAGTTATCCTGTTGTAGAAAGTACAACAAAGATTCCAAGACTAAGCGAGTCCCAAATCCATCACAGAAACCTTTAACCAGCAGTTTATTCGAGGATGTAAGTAACGCAAGTGGCTATGTGGGAATGTTTAGGCACAGAGTAGCAAAACGAGCGGAATGAGGGAGTGTTTAAGTGAACCGACGTGAGAGGAGGTATAAAAATCCTGTCTTTGGTAGATAACCAGCGCTGGTTTACAGCAGACATAACGCTGACGGACAGCAGAAAGTCAACATTATCTCAGAAAGGAAAAACGAAACAACAAGGGCAATGTTCCTTTTCAACTGTAAACTATGTAAACCTCACGTTCACATGGTTTCACCTGCCAGAGGAGTGTTTCACCAGGAAAATATTAGAGTGTAAAGACCATTTAGTAAACAGATACAATGAGCATTATGTATGTGGAACAGCAAGGACACCGTCCCTTACCGTCTACACAGACAAAGGGAACCAGGGGCTTTCTCTGGAGTGATTATGGTGGTCATTCGTCATGTCAGTCACTCCTTGGATGCCAATCGATGCCTGCTATTATTCAACCTAAGTTAGCACTAGATTAAGGAATAGGCGGAGGGCACAGGAATGAGAGAGGTTTTGTTTCTGATAGAGTCTGTTGGAGCCTCTGTGGGCGGCGGGGTGTGCGACGGCTCTGTGTTTTAGTTCTGGTGGCGCTTCATGTGCAGGGCCAGGTGGTCGGAGCGCGAGAAGCAGCGGCTGCAGGCCACGCACTTGAAGGGCTTGGCCCCGGTGTGCTTCCGGTAGTGCCGGGTCAGCTCGTCCGACCGGGCGAAGCGCCAGTCGCAGTTTTCCCACGTGCAGCGGTACGGCTTCTCACCTGGAAAAGAGAGCAGAGCAGCGACGGGTCAGTACCCAGCAGCTCCTCTGATGAGACCGCTACAGTTTCAGAAAAACTCATTTCTGTTTTAAAAAAGTGAAACCACAACCCCTTCAGCAATATATTAATAACCCTATTTGAGGATGATTTGTTTTGGTTATTGGTGTGATCTGATGTAAGTCCCAGGAAAAGGGGAGGAAGGTGGGTTGGGGGAGGGGAATGTCCTTATTTTTGTAACTTTTGTTTTGTTTTAATTTGGTATTGTATTGGTATTTATGTTGTATGTTCACATAAAAAAAAAAAAAAAAAGAGAACAAATATATATTGTTGAGGTTGTAATTCTCATGTTTGATTTCTCAATAAAACAGTTTGACAACGATAAAAAAGTGAAACCACACATTTTCTAGCCGTAGGAGGAAGAGATCTTTTAGGCCAAAAGCTAAATGTTCACACTTAATTCCACCTATTTCTAAAACTAAGCAACCCCATAAACGCGTCACAGACTAACAAGAAGAAGAAAAACGTACTTTCATTTGGCATTGGTTTATGAGTAAAACATTTTTCTATTCCATTCTCTTTTTCGCGTAAGAATGAACAGCTCAACGGGCCTCAACTGAAATCAACTGACTACTCATCTCCAAGTTACCATGACAAATATTGACTCAGACACTATGAATATAAGGCTGTGCGTGTGTGTTATAAATGAACAAATGTCCCCCCCAGAACAGACAAAACAGCGTAACAAGCCAAAACCTGCTTGGACCTCAGACATGAAGCACAAGACAAGGGGACCTCATAAGCAGGGGACTGCCTGGTGGATGAAAACACACCTGGCCATAGCAAGCTCTAGGGAATGTTGAATGATTAAAGAAGGCAGGGGTGTGCGGCCAGAAGTGAGAGAACTCTGGCCTCTCTCCCTCTCCCTCTTTGGGGTTGTATGCTGGTCTGGGGAAGTTTGACCCCCGAGCTCCCAGCCACAGAGCTCCAGAGCTCCGAGGTCCCCTCTGAGCCCCTTCCAAATGGACTGAACAGTCTTCAGCGTGTGGGACAGGGTCGTTAGGAGGTGCATTGTCAAGGCACCAACAAGGGTTGTACGATCAAAGAGTCTGAGAGCTGATACAGTCTATGCTAAAGGATTCCCATCTCCTTCCATGCGAGTGTGAACCGGCCAGCTGCTGGACACTGAAACCTGCCGGACACAGAAACCTGCCGGACACAGAAACCTGCCCGCCCGGCCTGTAGACCCAGCTGAACGGAAGCGTCCGTTGGGTGCTGTGAAGGAGAAGTATTTTACAACGCTGTTAAGATGTACAGCGCTGGGTACTTCCTCCTTCCTCCTAGAGGCTGTCAACAAAGCTACAGGAGATAAACCCAACCCCCCCAACCACTCTACCCAGAGTCAGGAGCTGTGTGTGTGTGGATGGTGAACTTCAATCCACTTACAAACTTTAGATGTACATGACATTTGCCAAACCCACGAGCTCTACAGGATGGAAAAATTATGATAAATGTGATAAAGGTGAGTTTTCTTTTCTGTGCAATGGGCAATGAGGCAGAGGGGTTTATGTTTGGGCAAGAAAAGGACCATGACGGCTTTTCCTTAATCACGAGAATGCGAATTTTCCTGGGCAGAATCAGGGAATGTCCAGCGTTGAGGGAAAGAGGCTGAGTCCTTTACTCGGATGGGGTCATTGTGCGGGGGTCCAAGACAAAAATCTGATGGCGTTCTCCACATGGCCACAGAGCAGACGCACAACCAGGCAGCCAGCAGGAGGAGCCAGCCATACAGGGGGGGGGGGGGTGTACCCACACTGGAAAGGTTACAGAGGAACCACAACACCAGAAACAGGGGATCCCGTGATATGGAAATACATAAGGAAGATGAGATTAGCTTAGCCACGTACGCAAGGGAGATTACACCTATGAATGAAAGAGATAACGTCCCTGTGATGGATAAAGTGCAGAGTGTGGTGAAGAGACAGAGATAAATAGAGAGAAAGTGAGAGAGGTGAAGAGAGCAAGAAAACAGAGAGAGAGAGAGAGAGAGAGAGAGAGAGAGAGAGAGAATGACTAGAGAGCTGTGGGAGTCTACGGAGCATGGCTTAAGTTCGTCAGTCTGACAGCTTTGGGGAAGAAGCTGTTTCTGAGCCTGCTGGTTTTGCTTTGAATGCTCCTCCTGCCTGATTGGAGGGGCTCAAACCGTCTGTGTGCGGATGGGCGGAGTCAGGAGGCGGAGGCCCCTCCCCCTGTGGCGGCGGCAGAAGCTCCTCAGGACCGAGCGCCCAGGTCCAGCTCTCTGCGGCCTGAGGGATGCTGGAGGTGCTGGGGCTAGATCTTTTCTGGGTCCTTGGGTGGTCAGGAAGGGGCTCTTCTCCCTCTGTAGCAGCACAGGACCTGGTTCTGCTGGTCCTGGCCCATTCGGAGGCCACAGTACATGGAGCATCTGGGAGCCTTTCCTTTGAAACCGATTATCTCTTTGCCAGAAGAGATTAAAGCTCTCAAAGAAACACAGTCCTTTGGACTTCCAGACTTCGGACAGCCATGTGTTCAGCTGAAGCCGCGGGCTGGATCTGTCGGTCCACTGATGAAGACCGGTAGTGACACTTTGTCAAAACTCTCAAATCCTTTTTGGATGAGATCAGACCAACATGCACACTCAGGGAGTCCTTCTGTGATGTCAGACAGTTGACGGCTGGGTTAGCGTTAGCTTAAACTGGGTTATTTGACACATCCTCCACTGGTAACAACATTTTGACTTTGCTTCGGTTTAGCCAAAAGATCTTCATAAGTCCTTTGCAGAGTCTTGGAAAAGACATTAGGCTTTAAGCTTTATGTAGCAGTTTCTTCACCCTTCTCTTTGGAAGTAAATTGGATTCCTTACCACTGAATTCCATGGGGATTGTGTCATGAAGACAAAAATCCTTTCTTGTACTTGAAGAATTTCTTGTTGATATATGACATTGTTTGGATTACTTGATTGATGTGAATTGGAGTCACTGGCTTATCAGGAAAATCGTACAAGGAATAAAAAATGACTCAAAAAGTATTTAGTTATATAAAAGAAAAAGATAAAATAACATCAAAGACTTGTGGAACAAAGAAGATGATTCAAAGTTATTATAAAGCAAATAAAACCTAAAGCCGCAGGGGCAAGCAGAGACCCATCTGCACCAGTCAGAACCAGGAGGCAAGCGCTTTCATCACAGCTCACTTTGTCAACAGTGAAGAGACAAACACTCATTTTTCTATGCATCGGTATGTAATTGTGTACTTTAATTTAAATCATAAATGTAACAATAGTAGAAAAAAGTCAATTATATAGTAGTAAAAGATTCATGGAGCCTCAAGGTATAATGGGTCTATTCTTATAAAACATTACAACTCAACTGAGGACATCACCAAATACTCTTACAAAAGTTAATCGCCTCTTTGTAAGATTTTTTGTTTTGTTACTCACTGTTACTTTGAAAAAAGTACGATGTGCGCACAGAAAAAGCATAAAAGCTAACGGTGCATCACAAAAGTGAATAAAACCAACGAATGTGCATCTGCCTGTGTTAAGGATAAAATAAAGATCTGGGCTGGTACTAAGCCTGTCTGGTTTTGTTAACGTTGTGATGTTGTTGCAGAGGCTATCTCTGCCTGTGACTAGCAGCTTCTATGGAGGTGTACATCACCTGTCTGTCAACAGGAAGGTAACGATGACTGTAAGAATCTAAATGTGTTCCTCTGGTGCAGCAACAATACGACAGACATGCAAAATGTGATGATGTGAACCTCTAAACTCTAATGCAAAGAATAGAGGAATGACGAGCCAAGAAAAGTTAAGTGACAGTTCGCACTCCAGATAACACCCCACCCAAAAACGAACATTTCTCTGCTGGGCCACAACATGTCGACGCCAGGTCATGAGCAACTCACCAACAAAGAGAAAAAACAGCTCCGTCGAGTAGGCTGTTATTTACTCAACAAGAATTAACCGTAATCTTTCATCCTCACAATGGAAATTCATATTTGGCAATCGAAGCATGGCACGAGCACAACTGGGAGGGAGATAACTAAACAATCCAGCTCTGCTGAAGCTGGATTCTTGGAACTATGGGCTCAATTTCATGTTCTAAAACTAAATAATTTCTTATTTCCTAGTTTCCCCCCAATAGATGCAGGTTGTGATGGCTGAAATCTACATTTAATTCAACAAACTAGGATACCATCTTAGCTAGTTTTGAAATATTTGCTTAATGTTAGCATTAATGGCTAGTGTCTAATAGTTTCTAATGGTACTTTTCCACATTCATTACAGTGAAAAGAGATTTTTAAGAGCAAATTCTACAACCAGTGTCAATGGCGTGTGACACTCTGGCTGTGTGGGTCATTAAGTACTCATTACCAGGATCGACCCTGTTAGTGGCGATTAGATAGCCTCTTCTACTGACCATCAATCATCAAGTGACAGCCATTACCAGAGCAATGAGGTCCAAAGAGCAGAGATTTTCCAACGAGTGACAGCAACAGCAAAAATAGCTTAATAGCTAAGATGTTCTTCAGAAAAGCCCATTCACATGACAAATGGCTCAAATATCTCCTCGCTAATACTTTGGTTACTCAATACTTTCTATTTATAATTTGAATTGGTTATAAGGAAAAACAAATAGTAAGAGAGAATTTGTAGGAACATGAGCCTTTTAAACTCACAGGCTTATCGTCACTCAATTCTCTTATTTGAACTATACCGTGCTCCAAGAAGGAGCAGCTTTTTAAGTGTGTGTGTGAAGGTACAAATGTCTCCATATAAAAAGGCTGAGCCTCTCACAGGTGTGTTTGGTTTTGCTCTTTCGCTAAGCTGCCGAGGTCAAAAGCACAGTCGGCTCTCTGACTATTGTACCTGAAAGCTAGCAAACAGGCCAGTGAAATACGACACACGCACACAGAACAAACACACTTGACTCGTATATATTTCTAGACGAGCTGCCAAAAGGGCAGGTGAAACCCTAAACCTCCGTCCATTCGGGTTTTTTTCCCTTTATTCCCCGGCAAATTCACAGTTCCAGTGAACCAACAAGGGAACTGTCAGATGACTTTTTATATTCTAAGAAATAATCAGTCTTTCAGCAAAAATCACTATGGCATCTAGGAATGTGGTCTATCTCTGTGTCACTAAACGAGACTAATGGCTGTTTTTTGAACGATTCAAAGCCTTTCCAGGGATTTGTATAGAAGACACTGCGGCTGTTTGACCAGGTGGCCGATTGGAAATGGTCAAACTGCAGTATTAGCGCTCTCTTTCAAGTGCGCATACGTTAATGTGCTCACATACTATAACCACATCATAAACCATAATGGAAAAACACACAGTCTCCCTCGCACAATAACAACAAAACGCACACTCAGAGAAGTACAAATATAGTGCATCAATCACTCCAAACACAAAAGCTTTTGTAAGGTCTGCAGTGCTCGCTGCAGATTTTCTCTGAAAGGCTTTAAGTCTCCTCAAAGCCTCGAAATGAGAGGCACCGCGTCATAAATCACTGACAAGTAGACAGGCTTTTTTCTGAAATCTTAACTTCTGAAAATAGAGATCATGCTTGTATCACCTTTGTCATTACGATAACACATCTATTCAAGTAAAAACTGTTTTCTTCGTCAATAAGTTGGCTTAGTCCTTAAAAATGAGAAGTGCCATAATATTCTATAAACATCTTTGGCTGTTTTACTGTGTCAGAGAGCAAACACTTTTAGCTTCTCCAGGACGCCCATAAAGCCTTTGTGGATCTCCTCTCTCTATCAGCTCAGTTATTGTTTGCAAAGTGGGCTGGAGGGTTCCCTAATCAGCCTGATAGCACTATTTGCACACACACAGACGTGCACAATGATACATTTGCTGAAGTCAAAATGAAGAGCTTGAAGTGGTCATGGTCAAGGTGGCCGCCCCTCTGGCAATGAAAGTGGCTTTCTATCCATTTAAAACTACTGCCACACTTCTGCCACCATATAGGCTCTAAATCCTCTCTGGGGAGAGGGGAACCTTTTAATTAAAGTATTTAGACAGTTGAGCAGATGAAGATTATGTTTACTTATTGCTAGCCAGAGTATCTCAAATCATAAGCTCTCTTCCTCAGAGGAAGAATTTCCACATAGATAAGCTTGAAAAATCTTAAGCCAACATGTCTACGTTTTTTTTAGGAGCATTGAAACATTTGAAATGAAACCAAAAATGGTTTAAAATACAAGAAGCTTTCAGATGTCACTGGGATTTGAAGAGTCACCCTTAGGATCTATGCACGCATATTTAAAAAAAGCCAAGTGGAGACATGACTGAACCCGCTGGGGTCTGAGAGTCCCTCACACAAACACAAACTTCCCAATGATGCTCCTTTATTAACAAATAATATGTCCAGTGCCATATTAATAGACCTGTCAACAAGGGACTTTATGGTTAATGGAGCTTAATCTGTGATCATGGACCAGATGAGAAAGGAAATAAGACCCAATTATCACATCAAGCCATCCCCTCTGCAATTTGGGGAGATTTTCCAAAACTAACCAGAGCTCAAACAGACTGAGCAGTTCAAGGTAAAAAACAAAATTGAAATAATGACTTACTTTAGAGGGAAATTAATCAAACTTTAAAGACAACAGGAAATGGATGTAAAGAGGCTTAAAATGAGGGTGTTGTCAGATGTAATCATAAAAAAAAGACCTGTATACCTATGAAACAGAAAATGACAGTCATGAATGGGGAGATGACCACCAGCCACGTGTGTGTGTGGTCAGCAACATGCCATGACACTGCCCTGCTGGTATGTTCTGACCCGGGGACAGATTTCCCTGCTCTGTCGGGGTTGTTGTGTTTACTATTCTCTCTGTTGTGTGTCTTTTGCAGTATCCTGCTGTTGTAACAGCACAACTTCCTCCCCGAGATCTATAAAGTTTTATCTTATCTCTTTACGACCACGGTGAGATCTTTTTCTATTTACCCATACGCTGGGCTGTTTGCCAATCTCTTGTGCGCCGTTTTCGCTCTGGAGGAGCTCGGCAGCTTTTAATCGCATGAGTAAACCTACAAAATACGAGTCCGGGCTGCTGGGAATCCGACGGTTTCATCTTACAGAAAGGAACCTGCCTTTCCCCTTTTGGTGAACCCCCTCTATCTTCATCTGACTACAGATGCTGAAAAGAAAATGAAAAGCAGGAGTAACTGGTTTGGCCTTCATTTAAAAGTCTGTCTTCTATCCTTTTATCCTCCTTTCTTCGTCTTACCCTCCTCCCACCATTCTGTGCTCCAGTTCTCTGGGGAAGCTCAGAGGACAGGTATGAGCATGTATAAATATAGTGAAGAAAAAAAAACAAAAACCCTGCAGCAAACTACTGATTCGTTCGCGTTGTTCTTCCTTTTTATTGTGTTCATGTCCTTCGTTTCCATTATTATTACAGGGCGTAACGAAACTGGCTATCGGACAAATATGTATTATAACAATAAATAAGCTCAAACTACTTAGAATATGTTAGCTTTGAAAAGTATGACTGTGTGAGAGTGTTTTGAAGCGAGGATTAGAACGTTTGGAATGAACCGAAGAATGAAGGCCTCCTAATCCTCATCACCTTTCATTATGAGAGCAGACAACACGCACACTGATCGAATTTAGCTGCTGGGTCGAGTTGAGATGAGCTTAAGAAACATAACCATCCAGAATATTAGAGATGAAAGCTTTGTTTGTTTTCAGTTAACTTGTCCTAAGAGGACTATTTTCCTTTTTAATTACGCGGCCACATGTCAGCAAACCGGTAAATCCTGTTCCTTGTTCTGACTGTTGGGTTGGTAAATTGGACTGATGAGCTATGCTCCGTGAGCCATGTCATTCTCCACTCTTATATGGGCACTCATTTGGTTAAACTAAACAATAATGTCCTCCTTTGCATTACTTCAGGAGATCTGAACGCTTAATTTGGACTTCTCCAGTCTTTAACTTGTCAATGCTAACATCTAGTCAGACCATTTCAAATTCGAGTCTCTTAAGGGCCTAATGTTTACGTCGAGTTGTGTTGTTATTTTAGGCAAGCCATTCCCACATTACGGATGTAAACACAGCAGGTGGAGCAAAACCCCCACAGTGGCCCGTCAGAGAGCTGATGGACACTTAAGCAAAGAAAGAGGAATAGTTGGTTCCTGTCAAACTCAGTTTTCTTACCTGTGTGTGTCCTTTGGTGCGCCTTCAGATGGGAGCTCTTTGTATAAACTTTAGTGCAGCCTGAAAGGGAAACCAGAGAGAGTCAGATGGTAGAAACGTGTAGTAGAGACACAACACTTTGAAACCACATGAGCTAACCTCAAAGACACTCGGTTGGACAAACTTAACAAACCTCCAAATGACATTTTCCACCTGATATAGTTGGGGAAAAACAAAAGAGCACAAAAAAACCTGCTGGTTCATGAAAAATCCGGGTGACTTTGACTTCTGAAATACCTCCAGAATAGTTGAAACAACTCCAAAGGTTAAATATAAGTTTTATAGTATCGGACAGGCTAACATTAAACTAAATGAGTTGTGTTTTGCCGTTTTCAATCTACTTTTAAATGGCTTGGTCGGCACAAATTTGTGCATTACTGACAGGATTGGATTTGGGGCTTTTTCTCTGAGAAGTGAGCTTATTTACACAACACTCACACAAGCGGGAAAACTTGCTGGAGTGGTTCTACTGGCTTTTTTTTTTCATAAGTAGCTTATCAGACAAGAAATCTCGCAGGTGCTACATGCTCACTGTTAGCCTTGTGTGGATTGCAGAAAACATAATTGTGCGGCTTTGGGTGTGGGATATATTAGATGTGAAAAACAAAGGTGGGAAAAAAAGGCTGTTATTGCAGCTCTGATGTTCGGCACGTTAACATCCGGTGAGTCTTGTGTCCATTTTTTCTGAAGCACGAGGAGACAAATACTGACCCCAAAAAACACAGCACCCACTTCCACTCAAGGACAAAACTGCTACAGCTTTTTCTCTAGTCTGTGGATTACATTCATAATAAAATGTTTGGCTCCTTCTTCTCTATCAGAAATATTTGGAGCATTCACCTGCGAAGTCACAGAAGTGGATCCTCCTCTTTTCCAGCTCGGGGTTGTTCCGCCGGTTGTACTTGGGGCCGGTCAGCACCCCCTGGCCGTGCGTCATGAGCAGGGCGTGGGGGGACAGCCCCGTCACCTTCAGGCCCCCCAGGCGCTGCTGGTAGGCCGGCAGACCGGGGGGCTGCGACGCTAAGGTCAGCAGCTCCGGCTGGCCGTCGGGGCTGCCCGGCTGGGAGTTGGGGGGGGAGGGGGGCAGGCTGTGGGGCGCGGCGGCGTGGGGGGAGCCCTGGTAGTAGCAGTGCTGCTGGACCTGATGCTGGTGCTGGTGCTGGTGGTCAGCCATCAGGTAGCCGTCACTGCCCGATTGCAGGGGGACGCTGCTGAGGTTCAGCATGGTCCGGCCCCCGGGGGGGCCCTGGGCCTGGGGGCCCCCCTGGGACAGGCTCATGGAGAGGTCGGCGGGGCCGGACAGGCCGGGCATGTGGTAGATCTGCGGCTGCGGGGGGGGCGGCCCGATGTGAAGCTCTGAGTCCAGGTTGGGCTGCGACTGACCGGGGCCCCCGGCGGCCGGGCCGGCCCCCCCCCCAGAGCTCACGTCCGGCTTTATGAAGACGCCGTTGGCGGCGGGCGGCACGCTGAAGACGCTGAAGCCCGGCAGGGCCTGCGTGGCGGCGGGGGGGGGCGGAGCAGGGCACCTCCAGCCCCGGCTCCGTCTTGATCTGCTGGGGGGTCAGGGTCCTGCCGGTGGGCCGGTACAGGCCCGTGCGCAGGTGGGTGCTGGGCAGGATGAGGTTGATGTTGAGGCTGTAGGGCACGGGCGGCTTGTCCTCGGAGAAGTACTCGTCCACCACAGAGGCGCTCTCACGCCGGTACTTCCTGTCCCCCGCGCTGGGGGAGGGACTCATCAGAGGACTGCTGATCTGGGGAAGGTATTTGTCCAATTCTAGTTTAGTCTGAAATTAAAACAACGGGGAAAAAACTCTTAAGAGAGGATGGACACATTTCAAATGTCTTGGCTGAGATCAGCAATTTTCTCTTTGTTTTTTAGATTAAAAACAGTTGAGAGGACAGGAAAACAAAGTAAAATTCAGTCACTCAAAAGGATTTGACATAATTTCTGGAATTGGGGATCTAAAACAAACACACACATGTATACAAATGTATAAACAATCTAGACAAACCCACAAAGAATGTGGCCAGTGGTTTCCATGAAGAGAGGGAGGGTAAAAAAATACAGAGCAAAGGCTGAAGACGTCATAAAGATACGGGGAAGCGTCAACACTGTGAGGCAAAAGTAGTCCCGCCAGACAAATCGGATGTTCCCAGTGAGGCAATAACAGAGGTCAGAAAAGAAAAACTAGAGCAGGAAAAGACAAAAAAAACAACAATCGAAGTAAAAGTGACGACTATGTCCTGGTACTACTTTTCGAATGGGAATAATATAATGAATGTGAAATAATAAAAAAAAGAAAGCCAATTTTCAGCCCTGAACTAGAGAAGGTTTTAATGAACAGTGATTCTGTTTGGTTACACACACACACACACACACACCTCCCAATAAATAAACTGCAAATCATATTTTCATTCCTTGGAAAGTTTTTGTACTGTAGGAAATGTACGCAGGAAGGTGTGTTTGTGTGTGTGTGTGTTTGTGTGAGTGAGTAAGTGTGTTTGTGAGTGAGTAAGTGTGTGTGTGTGTAAACAGCTAAATTTATGCTTTGCCTTCTCACTGCGGGCTTAAGTATTTCAATTTTAGTTTTTAAGGGATAATGATATGGAAGCACTTTGTGGAGGAGCTGACTCCCATGAAATAATACATTATGTAATCATTTAAGTTATATAAGTGATCGTTTCAAAAGAAGTTGGTTTTCAAAAGAGTTTGTGTAGCTGTAAAGGAGCACAAGAAGGAGTCTAAAGAGACATTAACTTTGGTGTTTTCTCTTTGTGATTGCCATCTTGTGCTGCTGATCTTTAAAAGTAACTCTTCCAAAATAATAATAATAAATGGCTTGTTTTGCAATTTTGATAGTAACTTAATGTAGATAAAACCAATAACGAAAAAGGTTCAAATAACTTATTTTGAACGTTTATTGTATCTTAACAATTGGAAACTATTTTACACCATCTTATGTCTGTTGTGTGTTTGTTAAGTCAGCCATTGTTTGAATTCCCTTTCTGACCAGACGGGCCAGTTTTGGCTGTGAAAGCAGGTTTTCAGGCTATAAATACACGTTGGTAAAGGCAGGCCTGCTGGGACAGCTTTCCCACAGCTCTGCTTTGCGAGTTCAACCCTCCACCTGTATGGCTTTTTGTTTTTTTTGCTCTCATATACTAAAATATTGTGTTGTCCCTCCAACCTGCACCTCATCTCTCAACAGTGGAGGCAATAAATTGTGTTGATTCTAATATGTGGAAGTACTCTGGACCACAAAAAGCATGTTTCACAATGTTTAACAAGATTTAATAAAACCTGAGAATCTAAACAAGACAACAAAATGTTAAAGACTCTGATGCAAAGGAAACCACATTCAAGTGAAAATAAACTAGTTTGGACCTATTTTGGCACCAAGAAGGAAAGATCTTGAAGGTGGCAAAACTCTTATTTTTCCTTTCTTTCCAACTGTTTTATTTTATTTATTTTACAGCAACCAACTCCGTAAGAAGCCATTTATTAGTGTTGCACAGATAGTTGGCCGTTTCTGTCCACAGGTGTATGTGTCTGTTCCCTCCATCGTGAACCCTGCAGGACTATGATCGGTGTTCCTCACTCATCACTTTTTGAAGCCACACACAATTCATTTCAGTTTCTGCCAAAATACAACAAGGTCATCTGAAGGCACCTTGAAGCCACAAGTGCAATACTTAGGACTTAGGAAATGGACGCATTTAGTTCAAAAGAAGAAGAATAAACAACTAAATCTGTCATTTTACAAGTTCTGACAACAATAGATCCAGTCTCGTTTTGTCTTTCTTAGTTACATTTTTGTGGATAATACCTTTGGGCAAAGCCTGAATCGGTTAATAATTGCAGAACATGTACAACCTCTCCGCAATGAATGCTCCTGCCCGATAACACCAGCTTCTTATCAGCTGGGTTCAGGTTTATGGGATCGGGTGGGTGTTTCCACACTTCCAACCAGGTTCAGACGCAGCCTTAAAGAACCTTTGAAGGCATTCACTCAAAGGAAGACATAAAGCACACACAAACTGGTACTGAAGTTAATAACTAAATGATCATTTCTAAAGTTATGACAGTAAATCTCTCTTAGAAACTATGAGCGTGGGCATGAATATCAGCATGCAGAGATGTCTGTTGATGGGAGAGTATATTGTGCTTTTGCTGACAAAATATTATGGTTGGAAAGTCGGATGTCAAGGAAAACTACAGAATAACAGCAGACTTCTTTAAACGGATTTGGCCCCCTGGCCTGAAGCTAACAGCCCCAGCTCCCACGCAGCTAACTGCAAAACACACACTGTTCTGCAAAGCACTTTACCTTTATGGCTTTTAGGAATGAAGAACAGGGGCCATAAAAATGAGAAAAGAAAGAAAATACTTTTTCTTTTTTTTTAGATAGGGCCATTCAGCCATTTCAGAGTAGAAATGATGTTGGGGTCATCAGAGCAAAACAAAACCTTTGCAACTATGTTGTACTTTGATGGGCATCAATAACAAAATAGGACATTTGTTTTTCTTCCCAGGAACAAGACTGAGGACAAGTCTTATCTGATGATTGTCCTTCTTATGAACCATAAAATAAATGAGTCATTTTGTTGATTTATGTTGTTTCACTCAATAACAAATTCACTTTTCTATCCAAAGAACAATGTCAAAGATGTTGTTTCTCTTTCTCTTTGTTCTATAATTTTTTTCTGGGAGCTTTCTGTGTGCGTTAGCATGATCCCTGTACCTGCCCGGGCTCTCTCTGGGTATTCCGGCTTCCACTGTCTGAAAACATACATCGTTGGTTAACTGAACACTCCAAATTACTCTGATGAGTGATTGTGAGTATGTCTGGTTGTGCGTCTCTGTGTAGCCCTGCAATGGGCTGGCAAACCTGTCCAGGGTGGCCTCTATTGGGGCCTGCAATGTGGGCCCTGTTTGGGCCTGGCGGGGCCTGTTGGGGCCCGGCAGTGCCTGTCATGGCCTGGTGGGCTCTGTTGGGGCCTGGCGGGGCCTGTTGGGGCCTGTTGGGGCCTGGTGGGCCCTGGTGGGCCCTGGTGGGCCCTGGTGGGGCCTGGTGGGGCCTGGTGGGGCCTGGTGGGGCCTGGTG